GAGAGGGGGTAATGTCACGAGTACCTTTAACAAAACACTATTCTTTCTTGAATCTTCCTAAGCGCCAATACACAGTGCCTAAGACAAACCCTAACCCTACCCCGAAAGCGTCTACCAGTTCAGAGATTCCATTAGCGCCCACGACACGTGTCTTCGATGTGACTGATGAAGAAGATGAGTTCTTTGATTGTGATTAGATTAGATAAGATACAATAAGATAAGATATGGTCACGTGATACTTCTTTAATATTCTACGACGTTCTATGGTACGATTCCCTTTTCTATTTTATGATTGGTCAGTAGTTGTAACTCAGTTTCAATCTCCGTTTCAATAGTTGTATATAGTTAGCATGTCTTGGTCGATAGTTCCTTAGTTCAAACCTCTTGTATCTACAACTGTAGCAATCCAAGACGTACTTGCTCTTCTCTCTCTTGTCCGATAACCTTAGTCAAGTCCTAGTCTCTGCCCAAGCGTTAATTCGTTATTTGGGTTGTGACACAGACTCCATTTGCTGGATCCTTGGCATCTACTCAGGGGTCACTCACCCTTGCTGTTGTCTTTGCTCACATTGACACAAGATTCATGCAAACAAGCAGGGCCACAGATGACTTAGGACTAATATTTCTGTTTTCATGGATGGGCCTTCTCCACAAGAATGGACTACTACCTCCTTGTGGGTCAGGTAAGTCAGACTGTGGCATGAACAAATAAATTAGGAACTAATTCACACATTACTAGACATTATATGGACTTTCTCAGCATTATTTGGCCTTCTCATACTCAAATCAACCATAAAAATCTTCACTAGGCTTAGTGTAAAATATTCATGGTGGGCTCTACATCATCAGAGTCAATGTGGGTATTCAGACTGGGCCCATGCTGGCACATGACTTAAGAATAGGGTTCACACAGTAGAATCACACATGGTCTTGGGGTGTCACTGTATCACACAATTGAGGGGAGAAATGTCTGAAGGCCAATATATTTTGTTACAAGAACATCTAGATGCTTGGGCCCCTACCATTTTTCTCCTCATCCTCCTCGTATTAGCCCTCACATCACACCCTTACCCCGACCTTGCCCTTGTTATCCTCGTCATACTTGCATTTCCTTTCGCCCTCTACCTGTCGCTTCAACAGAGCCAGTACATCTGGCTGGACCCTTTTGCTGATGAAGCATACCCATGCTCTGTCCCACCACCTGACTGATCCTGTGGACAGTCCCTTTGCCCCTACCATCCGGACGGTAACCTATGATACGACGCATGCTGCATCCCCTCTGCCCAGTTCCCTTTCCTGATCTATGACTCGGTGCACAGTCGCACATGTGTACTTATACTTAGCTCCGCAGTTGCATGATCGTGCCCCTGCACATTTCACTTCTTATTTCGATCTTTGACTCACTTTCTTATCAGCACGTTCAGGATCACTCGTGTCTCACCTCGAACGTGCTTTCCTTTTATAGTCTTACCCTTTACCGCTTACCTCTCTTGGTAGTATGAGTTATCACCCACTAATACGCTTCCTGTCCTCTATATAAACTTGCTACCATGTACTATATTCCTTAACTTGAATCTACTTGGTTCTTGACCTCCTACTCTCACCAGAGTGATCCTTTCTGCCTAGCCAGCAGTCTATATTCTATCTTCTTATCTGCTCTTCGCGGATAAGTCCTTAGTCTCGATCTTTACTCATCGACTTCGTCGACGAGCAAAGCCCCTGTTAACTAGTCGGACTTCTGTCCTTCTAATTAACGATGATCTTACGATTAACCTTTGGGTGTCATAAGCCTTGGCAGATACAGCTCATCGTCTCACACCCACTTGACGTAAGCTACCCGATTTGGACATAGGCGTCAAATCTTACTTGCCGAAGCCTCGCCAAGTAAGACCCCTAACCTTGGGCTAGCCCAAGGACGTCCTCGACCGTTGACGACACATGCTCTGTTTGAGCGTCGCCAACAGATACTATCCAAGTCGTAACATATTTGGGTGAGACTAGAGCTTAAAAGTCCAGTTAAGTCTGGTTTTTTGCCTAATTTTGATGCAACTGGACCTGAACTGGTCCTTAATTTAGTGTTACTATGGTCAGACTTGAACCGGACCAACAGAAACCAGTCTTTGCAGATCAGAAGTGTCTTGCAGTCAGTTCTGGTCAGGAGTCCAACCGGTTCAAAACCCAGTAAAACCAGTTTCAACCGACCTTTCAGCATGTAAATTAACATGTTGGTAACATGATATGTATATAGTCAAGCAACCTAGCCCACTACTCTGCTGTATCCACCAAGCCTACCACCATCATGTATTATAAATCTTCTTGTCCTAAAAAACCTTCTGAAAAGGCTGCAGCAATGGCTTCATCACATTCTTGTAACAACACACAGTCTCGCCCACCAAAGTCCAAGGCATCCCCAAAGCATGTGGGAAAGTGAAAGAAGGCACCTAGTAGTGAGGAAGAATCACCATCTGAGTCAGATGATAGTATTGTCAAAGAGATGCACCATACCTCAAAAAAGAAGGTGACAACTAAGTGTACATGGTGTTCATCAAATCAGATGGTGGGGTAGAGCAGAAGAGAGGGTGCTGGTGCAATATATGCAAGTAAGTGATAGCATTCAAGAATCTTTTTAAATACTTACATCAGATACAATGATCAAGAGTGAATCCAAAATTTGTTGCTGCATATGGAAAACAAAAGACTTTTCATGTTGGGAGCAATTTGAGCTGCTGTCAACATATTCCCAGTCATTATGAGGTGTACCAGAAGAAATGTGTGGAGATGGGACTGTGTGAGCACCATTACGCAGTTCCACGTTCATTGGTGCAAGAATAGGAACAGGTGAAGACAAGCAGTCAGAAGCGCCTCATGAAGATGTTCCAGAAGAAAGCAGATTTGCCCAATTTCTCAAGGAATGATGTTCTCTGTACAGTTGCAGAGTTTGTTGTCTGTGATGACCAGGTGAGTGTTGATGATTGGTGATTGATAACTAGATGGCGCTGATTCCAAAGTTGCAAAGTCGCTGGCTGTAGTAAACAAAGCCACATTTAGAAACTGTCTTGTTGCAATGTGTCCTTCTGCAACCAAGGCCGATATTCCCTCAACACATGATATTACAGTGTTCATTCATAACTCCTTCCTTGATTTCTTCAAGCAGATCAAGTTTGAAATTCAAGTAAGTCATGTTTATTTTAACAAGCTACACTAACTAAATCTATTCGCCTCATAGTCTTCAAATAGTGGTCGCATCTCCACAACAACAGACCTCTGGTCTGTTAATCAGACCAAGGCTGCCTTTTTTGGTCTCACTGCACACTGGATACATGCTGATATGAAGACTGGTACATGGACACTGTGGTCACAGGTGGTTGCATTCAAAGGAATGTCAGGTGCTTACAGTGGAGAAAATTTAGGACATTACTTTGTTGGGCTGTGCAAATGTGCAGGGATTGTGTCCGGTCAGTTATTGAAGGTATGCAAGTTCTAACTCGTGCATATATATGTCAACTCAACCACTCTGCAGCTTTTTTGTGTCACTGCAGACAATACTTCCAATAATGACACAGCATGTGCAAAGATTGAGAGCATCTTCCATCGCCAATGGATATATTCATTCAACACACTCCAACATTGTCTCCCTTGTCTTGCACATGTCATTAACCTCAGCATTGTTGCTATCATGTCAGTAATCATGTGAATTGCTAATGTTGAAACCAGCATGGCAATATGGGAATTTGACCCCAATGATTGCAACAATTGTGTCCTTGGCAACTCATTAGATGTAGTTGCCACAGTGCGCACCATTGCTATCAAGGTTAGTTTGGTTTTTCTATGTCCATTCATTCTACTAATATACTATGCAGATTCAGTGTTCTGGACAGCGGTGTAACGATGGCCACGGCGCTGGGCTCGAAACCAGGCAATCCAATACCTACGTTCATACCATTCCCCGACCTCCCTTGACCTTCTGAAGGCTGCGCGCACTTGTCCAAACCTTCCGCAGGCAGTTCTCGTGTTCCGAGACCCGTCCGAACCTCGCAAGTTACCATACCATGTCCTATCCTCGTCCTTTTGACTTCGCTGGTGCGTTTTCCTTTATTCTAACTATATGTTGACTACGTCTTAGTGCTACACAGATAACAATCCCATCGGCATCCTGTCGGGAGCCTCGGAATACATATAAGCAGCACACATTGCGGCTTATTACATGTATACTTGTATTCTTGCACGCCTCATGGCTTATTACATAGGTTAGGACTTGCTTATCTCGCTACTAGTTTCGCCTACGGATTCCGGCCTCTCACAGAAATAGGATATAATCTCGCTCGCTGGCTACTGATAGGGCACTTCACTTCCCATACTTTGAGTAGCAATTAGTAGAGTCACCTTGGTATAATCGTAAACTGCGCAATTGATCCTAGTTCATTTGGAATGATTGTCTGGCTAAACCGCTGCCAAATTCACACTTCGTTTATTCTCGAGCCCCGATAGATTAGCATTGTTCTGGACTTCGGACATTGCGCAAAGTCTTATACTGTTATTCAACACACCGACATACCGACACATTGACACACCGACATATATAGACCTTCGGACAGCTTTCGCAAGCCTCGGAAGGCATCGCGCTACTTCGGACAACACTTTCGCAGCCTGGGACGACCTTCGGTCGCATCAGACAAGTTTCTCGGTACTTCGGAAGTAGTCTCGGAACTACGGATGAGCATTAAAGAGGTTTTCTTCCAATATCTTGTCTACTCTCTAACTGTATAAGACTTCCCTTGCATTATCAAGGTAGTTCTTAGGTTGTCTCTTGGGACGAAGCATACTCGCATCTCTCAGGACTAGGGACTCACATTCAGTGGAGCCCAGCCCAGATCTACTCTTTACAGCGGATAGACTATTTCGAGACACTTCAAAAGAACTGCAGCCTGGAGAATACCTCAAGATTCCATTACACAGCAATGTCAGGTGGGGCACTGCAGATGGAATGCTTGGGTGTGCATATGCACTATGACAGGTATGTTTACACTATTCATTGTCAACACTTACCAAATTACATCACACAGGTCATCAACATATTCATCAGCACAGCAGATGAGCTCTTTGGGCCAGTCACAGTCATTCAGTGCAACAAGAAACTGGTCAAGAACATCCCATGGACAGCATCTACATTCAAGAATGCGGATTGGGAGCACGTGAAATCATTGCTGTAAGTCAACATTTTCTTATTTCTCTCATATACTGACTATTGTTTTATAGGACACTGATAACATTCAACTATATTTTTCATCTGAAACACAGCCAACACTGTGGCATGCTGAAGGTGAATCAACTCAGCTGTTGGTCAAATGATAAATCAAGGGGAGGGACACAAGAAGCTGATATGGTGATCAGTGCAATGCCTAGTCTGCTATGCTTACAGGGACAAGCACATTTGATCCAAGGGGAAGCAAAGAAGACAAATCCACAGTTGTGCAGCGGCTGTGCAAAGCGAGCAACATGTGTGTGAGGCATGGGAATGTGAAATGCGAAATAGCGAAAATGCAATGAGCAATAGACGAGGGCTCAATGAAAACAAAAGACTGCTAATAAATTCTGAATCTAGCTATGGACATCATGGGGGAACTCCACTAAGCTAAGGAGTGGTGTAATGTGATAAAATGTGAAAAATGCAGACCTATATATGTGTCTCGCTAAGTGAGCCGAGTGTGAGATAATGTATTTCATAAGGTATGTAAGTCAGGGTCCATGCTCTAATATGGTGCCATATTGAATAAAAGCAAAAATACATACCAGGGAGACTTGCTGGACAGTGGATGGATGCTCCTGGATGGTAGGGTGATGAAAGTGCGGGAAAGCGAGTGATGCGCAAGGGTCATGCACACGGAAAAGTGTTGCCCGATATGGAAATAGCTGGGAAAAGGCTAGGGAATGATGCTGCAAGTTGGTGCTGCAAACTTGGGTGGTATGCACTAAAGTATAACACGTTGCAGACCTGTAATTATGCGAATCTCTACAATGCCATTCCAGCAATTGAGGAACTCCAGACCACATGGGAGATGAAACTCAATTTACCAAAGTATGAGATCTACAAGGATGCCATCCAGGCTGGCCTCAACATGATCAGAAAATACTACTGGAAGTTTGATGACAAGCCTGTGTATGTTCTTTCCCTTGGTAAATGATTTTTACTTGCATATCTACATAGTATTGCTGACACTGTATTTAGTTCTCCACCCTTATTACAAACTGATATACATCAAGATGCAGTGGGGTGGGCCAGAAGAGCAGGCAAAGGAGCATGCTGCCAGAAATCCAAACACTATTGATTGGTATGATGAGGCCCTACAAGTCATTGAGGCAGCCATGCAAGAATATTCCAATTGTGCTAAACCAATAACTCCATCAGCATCTCTGGGTTCTTCCACTGGTGGCATCTCTTGTGACACTGCTAGCATTAAATCAGAATATGACTGTCATTGTCGTGAGCTGGTAGAGAAGGCCAGTCACCAATATCATTCAGACTGGTATGCTGAACTTTGGCGTTATCTTACTGACATGCCTGACAATGTCTCAAAGAATACAAATATCATCGAGTGGTGGTTGGTATGTATTGATTACAATCTGTCGTACATCATACTAACATAACAATAATTTAATTCAGAAGAATGCCACTATCTACCCTATCCTTGCCTGCATCTTTGGTGCCTTGTGAACACATATTCTCAGGTGGCAGGCAGACTGCGACTGACAGGTGCTTCCAACTAGGTGCCGAGCAGTTTGAACAACTCCAAATCCTTAAATTTTGATGGCAAAGTCCAGTCATTGATCGCATTGCTACAAATTCAGCTGTCACTGACAAAGTTTTACTTGATGAGTATGTTGAATTGCTTCAACTCAATACTGTGATGTCCAAAGATGATTGCAATGAGGTTGATGTAGTCATAGACTGAGTTTTATGTCATGTTTAGCTATACAGTGTATATACAAGTGTGCCCTACCTATAGGCAACCAGTTTGAAAAAGACCGGTTGCAGTCGGTTCAAAGTCGGTGTAGAGATTCACGTAATTACAGGCTTGCAATGTGTTATACTTCAGTTCATACCACCCAGGTTTGCAGCACCAACTTGCAGCATCATTCCCTGACCTTTTCCAAGCTATTTCCATATCAGGCAACACTTTCCCGCATTGTGCGACCCTCACACGACTTTCCCACACCTCGCAATGCCCTCGCATTGCTCACTTTCCTGCACTTTCATCGCCCTATCATCCAGGAGCATCCATCCACTATCCAGCAAGTCTCACTGGTACGTATTTCTGCATTTTTATCAAAATGGCACTATATTAGAGCATGAACCCTAATTTACATACCTTATTGCATACATTATCTCCTACTTGGCTCACTTAGCGAGATACATATATAGGACCACATTTTTCACCCTTTACTACACCACACTTTACCCTAGTGGAGTTCCCCCATCATGTCTATAGCTAGAGTCAGAATCTATCAGCAGTCCTTCTAGTAGTTATTCATTGAGCCCTTGTCTATTGCTCATTACATTTCGCATTTTCGCATTTTTGCTATTTTGCATTTTGCATTCCCACTGTAACGATAGTCACCGCACTGGGCTCAAAAGGGCCAATTTTGATACACCTTTCAGATAGTCATTCCTTCACCTTAGGTTCGCATTTTTACTGCTTACCTAATCATGTCCCCCTTGATCTAGTACTCTGACACTTGTACTCCAAACCTCATCAAGAATTCTACTGAATACTCTCCATGAGTTCAGACCTAGTCCAGAAACCCTTTAGGGTCGAACATGCTTATCTCAAGCAGTAGCAGGCAGAGCAAGACCCAAAAATATTCTGCAGAGCCCAGCAGAATTGTTGTACCTATACTGCACTCTCATGCTAATTGTGCACGAGTTTCCTGTGCTTTGCTCGCCCATCGCTTGCCTCACATAGCCACTGCATGAATGTGGATTTGTCTTTCTTGCTTCTCCTTGGATCAAATGTGCTTGTCCCTGCAAGCATAGCAGACTAGGCATTGCAATAGATCATTATATCAGCTTCTTGTGTCCTTCCCCTTGACTTACAATTTGACCAACAGCTGAGTTGATTCACCTTCATCAGTCTTTTTTTCTTTGGTATAATGAGGCAACCACAACCCTTGAAGTTTTGTTGGTGACAAGACCACAACTGCAGTCAGGTTCAAAAAAAGTCTGGTCCCGGTCCAACTGCGGTCTTTTTGTGGTTTTGCAACTGGACTTTTAAACTCTACAAGTGATGGGTACTAGGTATGCCCTTGCCTTGAGTGATGAGTGGAAGAATTTGGTTGACTGACTGGAGGAGGTTGAGAACAGAGAGAGGGTAGTATGCTCTTTCCTTGAGTAGACATTTGAGTGTAATGTGTGGAAGAATTTGATGGACTTACTGAGACCAAATGCAGGAGGAAGGGATGGTACACCCTTGCCTTGAGTGATGTATAGAAGAATTTAATTGACTGGACTGAAGACTAAGTGCAGGAACTGTTTGATAGCTTAAGTTGAATAGCCTGTATTGGAGGTGAGTACACATACCTGTAGCAAGTATAGGCGGACTTAGAAAATCAGTATTGAGTGCTACTGAAGGGCTGTTTGTTTGCATTTAGGAAATTTTATGCATTGAACTAACTTTGACTTGCCTTTTATCACTGCCATTTTGCTGCATTCCTCTTTTGTCCTTGCCTGCATTCATATCCACCATGGCACCTCCTCTCTCTCCTTGCCATACACATGCCAAAATGTCACACAACACCCTGGGCTGGTGCTTCTTGAAGGTAAACAAAAACAACATACCCAAGCCCAGATCAAGGAGGACAAACAGCATGCCAAGGACATGCAGGCTGCACAGGAAGTCAATTTGCAGTGTGGAATTGATCATATTGCAAGCATTGAGGCTGCCATGGAGGCGGAGCAGGGCATTCAGGTGACTGCAAAAGTGAAGCCAATAAAGTCTTGTGCTAGGCCAGTCAAGAAAAAGATAGATAGGGTAGGTGCAGCTAGTGAACTTACCTCTGGGAGTCTGCCTGTACCTCCAGCACCGGCTCAGAGTCAAGGTGGCATGAAGGGCTAGGATGCTGGTGATGTGGGTGAAGAAGATGCTGAAGCGGTTAGGAATGAGGTTGCAAAGCTGAATAAGATCAAGAAGGTGCATGTGGCAATTGGTGCAACAACCCTTGGCAGTGATCAGCGAGGCAAAGGGACTGGTACTGACAAGAAAGGAAATCCTTTACTGTTAGTGAATTTATCCTCTCACCATCATGTTAATGCTCACTGAATCCACGCTGCACTTTATGACCTTGACTTGGGCACTTAGTAGTAAGAAATTCGGTTTGACAGGAAAGGTCAACAACTGGTGCACTCACATGGAACCTGAAACCAAGTCAAAAGTGTCCCCTATTACGAGACCTAAAACCAAAGATGGCTCTGTTGTATCAGCGACAACCCTGAAGACAAGTCAGACTGCGGCAACCATGGTCTCACTTGCAAAGAATCCACTCCTTTCCTTGACAGATTTGTCAGATGATTCTGTATCAGACAATGGTGAGGACAGAGGCAATGAAGAAGATAGAGATGGGGACGATGAAGATTTCAAAGAGCAGCCATCTATTAATGTAAAAGGGAAGGTGGGAATGAAGGTAAGTCACTTGTCTTTGTTTGATGCATACTCACATCAGTTTATCTTAGTCTATCATATAGATCGCTGAGGGTTCAGGTGACAGATTATCTGATGTTCCCATATCCATGCCATTTAACCTACTGCTGTTTAGTCAACAAGCTGACATAGCAAGATTTGCTCTGGAGCAGGCCTAGCATCCTCACACAGTCTTATCCACAAAAAGAACAATTGAGGAAGCCGGATTGATAGGCTTCTCCGAAGACAATGATCAAGATAATGACAACAAGGAGGAGGAATTCGTTACTGACACTATGTTAGTTGATGTTACAAGAACATAACAGTTGATGAGAATCTTCCTCAATCACAAATGTCCCTGAGCAAACACACACTACCACAAAGGTAAGTGTTTTTTAATATATCTTTATGATGCTAATATATACTCTAGACTACTATGACAGTTACTGGCACTAAGAAACTGAACCCACACAAGAAACCGAAATTGGAACCAGTCCTTCCAACTATCTCTGAACCCAGCTTAATGTCTGCTGACATGGCGACAAAGCTCAAAACTGAAAGTTGGTGGCAAAACACAGATCTTCCATCATTTATACTGGAGGACAGTGCATGGCGCAGGAGTTTTATCTCAATAGTTTTTCTTTGGGCAGGCGCCCAGCCAAATTTTTGGTCTATTGAGGCTGAAAATTTACTTCCAGTGCTCCAGGCCATCTTTGACATTGCATTTCAAGGAATGAATTACAACATTCAACCCTTTACCGGTTGCTTCTCTTGGTAGTACGAGTTATCACCCACTAATACGTCTCCTGTCCTCTATATAAACTCGCTACCATGTACTATATTCCCTAACTTGAATCTACTTGGTTCTTGACCTCCTACTCTCACCAGAGTGATCCTTTCTGCCTAGCCAGCAGTCTATATTCTATCTTCTTATCTGCTCTTCGCGGATAAGTCCTTAGTCTCGATCTTTACTCATCGACTTCGTCGACGAGCAAAGCCCCTGTTAACTAGTCGGACTTCTGTCCTTCTAATTAACGATGATCTTACGATTAACCTTTGGGTGTCATAAGCCTTGGCAGATACAGCTCATCGTCTCACACCCACTTGACGTAAGCTACCCGATTTGGACATAGGCATCAAATCTTACTTGCCGAAGCCTCGCCAAGTAAGACCCCTAACCTTGGGCTAGCCCAAGGACGTCCTCGACCATTGACGACACACGCTCTGTTTGAGCATCGCCAACAGATACCATCCAAGTCGTAACAGCCTCATGCTTCGCGCATTACTTAGTCCTAGTACCTTATTAGTTGTTTGGTGTCCCTCTTTTTACAAAGAGAGGTTTCCCTTTACCAGTTAGCTGCCCTTGGGTCGACAATTTCACTCACACCCAGGACTAGCTGTGTTTGCTTAGCTTAGCACCAACTTACCACACAGTTTAGATTCCTCATCTTCAATGGGTCCTTGCTATTGATATAAGCCCTGAATTGGATTCAAAAAGCAGCCAATGCTTCTGCAGGGCTAAATCTAATGAGTGCTGGGTTGTGTTGTTCCATCTCAGTAGCTGGATTGTGATATTTTCCAGTATCATATGCATCACCATACTCACATTTTAGAATACCCTGCAGGGCCAGTGCGGCACATATCACCATGTCCTGGGGAGGTTTTGTAGCACAAGTGACAACACCTGCAGCTGATTTTGTGATGGTGAGAGTTGGCCCTGCGAGGGGATTGGCTGCCTTGTATATGGGGGCATTGCAGTATACTGTTGTTTGTTAGATTTGACAAGGACAAGATAATTGTGAGAAACATACCAGGGTTCAGAACAAATGCTGTAATGTACAAATCATGGGATTTTGGGGTCTCATTGACGAGCTCATTGAATCATGCATTCCCAATTTGTCAAATGGATTTCATTGTTGTCTTCTGTAGCCGATGCTTGTTTCCATAAAAGTCCACTTCATGCTGTGCCGTGATACCAAGAAAACAAAGTACACATGGTCAGCTGTGATCACATCACAGTTGCTTCTCGCAGACTGGTGCAGGCATTGACCTGTCTCAACCTAATGCCAGCAATAATCTACTTGGTATGTTTTTCAATTTTTATTTTGTGAATCTATCTAAAACATGCCTAGAACAAGTGATCCTAGAGTTCCCGTGGTACAGCGCTCTTGACGACATTTGGGGGCACAACCCTGCATATGCCCCCAAGACATTTTCATCCACTCCAAGGGTGAATCATGCAGGTGACATGATTGTGCTCATGTCAAAGCACAAGGGAAAAGAAAAGGAGGTCCCTCCTGATCTTGACAATGAAGCGATAGAGACCACTGATGATGGCCTTTCTCCCCCTGCCCCCACCATCAATATTCCTCCTGCCCCCACCATCAATGCTCCCCCTGCCCCTGCCACCAATGCTCCTCCTACCCCTGCTGTCAATACTCCCCCTGCTCCTGCCATCAATGCTCCTGTCATGGATGCTCCCCCCACTGCCCCCCACCTCAACCCTCTCATTGACTATTATACATTGGAGGACGACCACTTTTTGAAAACCTGGAGGCGCAGCAAGGGGACTTTGAGATGAGGGACCAGGAGCAGACTGGCCCCCAGGATTGTGTTGCCAGCAAGCGCCCCTTCTCATCACCCTCACCGCCACCTACACCGCCACCCACCTCTTGTGGGACCTTCTGTTACAAGAACATCTAGACACTTGGGCCCCTACCATTTTTCTCCTCATCCTCCTCGTCTCCGCCCTTGCATCACACTCTTACCCCAACCTTGCTCTTGTTATCCTTGTCATCCTCACATTTCCATTCGCTCTCTACCTGTCGCTCCAGCAGAGCCAGTACATCTGGCCAGATCCTTTCTCTGACGAAGCATACCCATGCTCCATTCCACCCCCTGACTGATCCTGTGGACAGTCCCCTTTGCCCTTACCATCTGGACAGTAACCTATGATATGATGCACGCTGCATCCCCTTTACCCTATTCCATTTCCTGATCTATGACTTGGTGTGCAGTCGCACATGTGTACTTATATTTAGATCCGCAGTTGCACGGTTGTGCCCCTGTGCATTTCACTTCCTGTTTCTATCTTTGACTTGTTTCTTGCTTGCACATTCCAGTTCGCCTATGACTCACCTCAAACGTGCCTTCCCTTTCCAGTATTACCCTTTGACCAGTTCCCTTTCTGGTAGTACGAGTTATCATCCACTAATATGCATCCTCTCCTCTATATAAACTCACTACCATGTACCCTATTCCTTAACTTGAATCTACTTGGTTCTTGACCTCCTACTCCTAACAAGAGTGATTCCTTCAGCCTAGCCAGCTGTCTATATTCTACTTTCTTATCTGCTCATCATGGATAAGTCTCTAGTCTCGATCTTTACTCATCGACTTCGTCGACGAGCAAAGCCCCTGTTAATTAGTTGGACTTCTGTCCTTCTATTAACGAAGATCTTACGATTAACCTTCGGGTGTCGTAAGCCTTGGCAGATATCGCTTATCGTCTAGCACCCGCTTGACATAAGCTACCCGATTTGGACATAGGCGTCAAATCTTACTTGCCGAAGCCTCGCCAAGTAAGACCCCTAACCTTGGGCTAGCCCAAGGACGTCCTCGACCGTTGACGACACATGCTCTGTTTGAGCGTTGCCAACAGATACTATCCAAGTCGTAACACCTTCAGGTCCCATGTGGGCCGCGCAATGGGCGATCACGACATTCGCACACCCCCATCACCCCAATCCATCACATCATCATCGGCAGCATCATCATCAGCATGCACAATATTATCCTCGCATCAGTCAATGCCATCTGCACGCAGAACAAGCAGGTCACACAAGCCAAAATTGAGCCTTTCAGGTGAAGTCCAATCCAACATCGAAGACGTGCGCGGCCAAGTTGATTCTCTTAGCAAGGGCATCAATTATGTTTACTCAGTGAAGGTGGTGCACTCTGAATACAAGATCACCAAAGTAAATTCCCACCCCCAGAAAGTCAAGATTGACTTCCAACGCAAGCAAGCCAAGCTCAAATGCAACAAGGCTGCTATCATCCATCAACGTGTTCAAGAATCAAAGTCCCTGGAGATTCAGCTCTTCGAAGCCCAAGCCAAGGCTCATCTTGAGAAGAGGGCTATGCTTGAGCTCAAAATTGAGCTTCTCAAATTGAAGGAGAGCTTACCGTCTTGCTCAAGTCCGGCTTAGGGTTTGGAGTAGTCTTAGGTTAGGGCTGGTCCTATAGTCTTGTTGTTGTTGTTGCTGTACCTTGGACACTTATACTTGCTTACATGTTTCATTTTATGTTGTACATTGCCTATCATTTGTTTTCCATCCTATGAATACATTTGTTTGCTGTCCCCTTCCTACTTCTTGAAGGCCATGTAAGTTTCTACCTCGATAAGCACTCCATTAACTTTGCACGAACTTGCTGACCAGTGGTCCCTTCAAATGAGGTATCTCCCACCTCATCAATGTCAGAATCTTCTGGCTGTGGAGGTGGCATAAGATCTGAGCCCTCACTCCTCAAGGCCCAATTCTCAGTACCATCTGGACCACCAGATATACCACATTGATCCTCAAACCTAATGATCATGTTGTGCAAAATCAGGCAGCACATGATCCAATAGGAATGATACTTGAGTTGGTCTTCATTCTGCAGTGGAAGTCAGAGCTCTCAGAGACACTGGAAACGGCCCTTAAGAGCAGCAAATGCACACTCTACCTGCATGTGAATCTAAAAGAAATATGAATACATACCAGGAAAAATCAGGAAAATAAAATAAGACACACCTTGGAAAGGACATTATTGAATGCCTTTTGCTCAAGGGTCAAGGCTCCCCCAATAGGCTTCTTGAATGGGGGAATACACCATGACTCTAATGAATAAGTGCTATCAGCCCAAATCCAATGGTCATTACCCAGAAGTGTTTGGTGATTTTGATAGACATGGGTAGAGTGAAACACATATGCATCATGGGCACTACCAGTGTGACCAAGAGAATAATCGACTATAGCAAGATTATGGGGCATGATGACTGCCTAAAAATCAGAAAAATCAGCATCAAATAAATAAAAAATAAAAAATAAAACATGCCTGGCAGTTGAGAGAAAATTGAGACTTCCTACTATAAAAGGTATCTTCAAAAATACTTAGCCTTTGAAAAAGATTGAAAAATCATTCACCAACAGCCAGGATATCATTCTGCCACTCTGGGCAGTCTGATATTTTGAGAGCATAGGCTTGGGCACAAGCAACTTCAATAGAGTCGAGAGCAGGGAAGAAGATGAAATTATCATGTTCTGCCAGCAAGACAGCCATAACACGATTAGTACAGTTGGTGACTGACCCAACAAATACCCCTGCCCACTGGCAGACATCCTTGGGAGAAATGACATTGCCATAGTGGCTGACTGGATTAAGAAAGATAGCAAGCTGCACTGCAACTGGAAGTTGGGTATTGTTGGATTGGTTGTGGAAAACAGGGTGATTACTGATCTGATTGAGGATAGCATCGAAAATCTCAGGAGAAACACATAGTTTCTTCTGGAATAAATGAGGGTGGTGAATGGCGAAATGATCAAGGAGTTGGATCTGAGGTGCTCGCATAGGGGGCTCATCTAGATGGTTGAGAACACGTGTTTCCTCCACCTCCTTCCAAAGAGCAGCAAGGGATCCATTAATATGGAGGAAATTCTCATGAATTGTGATAGAACCTAACATGTTGGAATTATCAGAGCCACTGTCTGAAGAGTCAGACATGTAGGGTGACATGGGGGAGACTGGAGATGGGGTCCTAATGACAGAGTCCTCAGAGATAGAAGAATCAGACTCAGAGACTTCACCATCTGCCATGACATGATCAGCCCAGGCTCTGGCTACATCTATAGTAGCAGTATCTATTTGATCAAGCAGTTGTTGATGTTGAGATTGGTGAGGCATAGTAGCTGTCACTCATTATCATGATCCAACTGATCTGATCTAAGCAAATTTTAAGCAGAGTTTTAAGCTAACCCTAACCCTAACATCAGAACTCTTCGAGAGTTTGAATCGTTTGAACTGCTAACACACCAGCGGTTTCAGAGTTTTGCCTGAGGCAATATTTTAATCAAAATGCAATTGGTAAATAAAAGATTTTGACTTGAAATTTTGACTTGAGCAAATCAAGAAATTTGGATGAATGGTGAGATGACAATGCAAAGTGATACATTTCCACAAAAATCTTGAGTCCTGTGAATATTTGAGGTTTTCAGTGAGGAAATTTGATAATACATATATGACATTTTGGTGATAATAGATAAATCCAAACTTTTGAGCACAAAAATATGTTGTGCAAAATATTATATAATGACGGACATTTCCACATGGGAATAAACTTCAAATTTTTCTTGGGACAAAGTTTAACTTTGCATTTTCCCATTTATTTAAAGTTCAAAGTTTCCTGGAGTGGCCAAATGCCTGCTATTATGTAATATTTTGCGGAACATTTTGCTGCGCTTCAGAATTTTGGATTTATCTATGATAAAATGGGATTGTACAAGTCCATATTTTGCCCAACATTTTTCAAAAAGGAAAATCTTCAAGTATTTATACACTTCAAATTGGTGTCGAAATGGGTTGTTTTGCTTTGTCATTTGCCCTCAGTCGCAATTTGCCGTTGTCCCAGTAGTAAGATTCAAAGTGCGAATGGCTAATTTATCATTCTCATTTCAATTAAAATATGAGTGTTCAGAACACTTTCACAACAACTTTCAGAGCTGTTTCAGAGCATTTCCGAGTGTTTCAGAACATTTCAGAGCCTACTCTGAATACCCTTAATGTCGCTATCACCTTACATCTACAATATAATCTTGCTGCCACCATGGTTGAGCTGCATTTACCGTGATGCCATGTCCAGGTGCTGGGTAATGAAGCCTGCTGAAATACCTCAGCACCATGTGTCCAGCTGAGTGGCTGCATTGCTCACTTCTGCTATTCAATTTTCTTCTTCTCCACCACGACACCAAGTTTGTCGTCCATCACACTCCTCACTCACTTGATAAAATTTTGTTATAAAATTTTTGTTATAATTTTATCACTGTTATCAGTCATTATGCATGAACATCTTGGTCTGGAATTACCAAGTCGAGCTTCAAATGCTCCAATCATGCCTCCATCCACACAAGGCACGTCTGCTTCAACATCATCTTCTATACCTCAAGCACCTTCATCGTCCAGATGGCTCAGTGCAAGCAATGCTGCACAGCAATCAAGTTCACAGAGTGTACACCAGCATGCTTCTCAGCAGGCTCAACCTCCATCAGTGCAAGCCAATTGCACAATAGCACCAAATTCGGTTCCTAACCCGGCCCAGCCATCTTCAGCACAGCAGGCTTTAGTGCAGCCCACTGCTGTTCAACCCCAAGCCACTCCCACACCTGCAGATGAGATTGCAGCCTTACGTGCACAAATTGCCAAGCTCAAGCATGGCAAAGCTCACAGCGTCCCTTTACTGGCCAGAGCTCCTGCCCCTCAGCAGGCATTAGTCGCAGACCCAGCAGCTGTTAAATATATTCGGGCAAATTTAGCTGGCACTAAGGAAGAGTCTAAATGTCTCACCTTACCTGCTCTACAACCCAGGCACAAAGTAAGTGCATTGAGTTTGTGTGAGTCTTTATTCTTTCATTCCGCATGCCTATACACTGCAAATCCTGCGTTCACTGCACTCATCAGGCAGCTACTTCTGTAGTATGCATACCGTGTCAGACCGTACTGTACTATCGGCCTAAAGGGCATCCATTACCGCTTTGTCGATCAAGGATCTATCCTACCATGCTGTACTTCACTTGTTATTTTGATTGTTCCTCTAAGAATATGGTCTCTAACGAGGCTTATCACAGCTGTGCCTGCAAAGGTGGAAGACATGTTTAAGCAGTACCATTACATTCCATACACGACTCTCATCCATGCAGCTTGGTCCAAAGCTTTCCTGTGTGGCGAGGACTCGTCCTATGTCTTCACACATACGGTCTAACTGCTAAAGGTTTGGATCGTTCAAACAAACTTTTAATTTCAGCAGTAGACTGGATTGCTGCATCGAAAGTCGCAGAGGAAAAGACAACCTTTCATTGGGGGGAGGATAGAGCCTCCGCGCTTTTGTCACACCACCTGGTGGTGCTCAATATTGGTCACACTCATGGACTAGCACACACTCATTGTGCCTTCGGCACAGGAAGCAAAAAGAGCGCTTCGCGCTCTTTGTTGGCTTCCTGGCCTTTGGCTTCATCCTACCTTTGGGTGTTTTAATAATCATTATTTTAGATCTTGAAATAAATTATATTGTATTCATTGAGTTGAGCATGATATATTACAATTAATGGGATTAGACATATTGAACCCTCCTGTCCTCCTGTTGTTCTCTGGTTTGCTCATTCTCCTGTTTACCTGTTCTCTGTGCAGATAAGAAAAGTAAAAGTACAATTGAATGTGTTGATTTCCCCTTACCTCCCTGTTGTCCTCCCGTCCTCTTGTCCCCTTTCCCCTTCTCCCATTTCCCCATTCTCCTGTTCTCCTGTTTTTCCCATTCTTCTATTGTCCCTTTCTCCTGTTTTCCTGTTCTCTGTTCTCTTATTCTCCAAATTTCCCCATTTTCCCTGTTCTCCCATTTCCCTCATTCTCCCATTCTCCTTTTCTGTTTCCCATTTCTCAATTGTCTATCTATAAAGTAAGGGAGAACAGTGATGGGAAGGGACGGACGCTCGCGTGGTTTCCGCTTGCACCGCGTAGATACACTTAGATATGTTTAGATTTGCTTAGATTCACTAAACACTGTGTGGTTTTCGCTTACCTCGCTTAACGCTCGATTTGGAAACTTGCGTGACTGTCATGTGATCTTGAGGGTCTGCTGCCCGTTAGGGCAGCACACATTTAAAACCATTTATTATTTATGAAATTCAAATCATATACACACAAAAAATTTAAGTACATAAAGAAGAAAAGTCAATTGAGAAATGGAAAATGAGAATGGGGGAAATGGGAGAATAGAAAAAATGGGGAAAATTGAAGAACAGGTGAGAGAAAATGAGGAAGATTGGAGAACAGAGAACAGAAGAATGGAAGAATGGGAAAAACAGAAGGACAGGAGGACAACAGAAGGATGGGAGGACAACAGAAGGACAGGAGGACAACAGGGGCACAGAACACCAGACACAACAGTAGATGAGAAAATACATATATTCAATTGTACTTTTACTTTTGTCAAAGTCCTGCTCGAAGTATGTAACTTATTTTGAAATTTTGATCACAACTCAGTGAATAAAATATAATTTATTTCAAAACCTGCAATGATTATTAAGTCACCCAAAGTAGGATGAAGCCTAAGGCCAGGGAGCCAACAAAGAGTGCGAAGCACTCTTTTTGCTTCCTGTGCCGAAGGCACAACGGGTGTGTGCTAGTTCTTAATATGTAGTTGAATTTATTGTGTATAATTTGAATTTCATAAATAATAAATGTTTTTAAATGTGTGCTGCCCGTTAGGGCAGCAGATGCACATGATAGCCATGCGAGTTTCCAAATTGAGCTTTAAGCGAGGTAAGCGAAACCACATGGCCTTTGGCAAAATAAGTGTATCTACTCGAAAACTACATGGCGCTATGCGCCCCAAGCGAAAACCACGCGAGTGTCCAGTACTTCCCTCACGGTTCTCCCTTACTTTATAGATGGCCAGTAGCTATGCACTATGATGTGCAGCAAAGAGAGCTTGCCCATGCCAATCATGATCACAACTTGACTGCACTCGACGTAGCTGCACTTGCCTTAGCCAATAATAAGATTGCTTCTGTCACTGTTCAAGCTGTCACTCCCAGTTCACCATCTAAGCGCTCTGCCCCAAGCGACTTCTTGTCATCGCCCTGTAAGAAATCCCATACCTTTGTGTCGAACCATTGCTTTTGCTGTGGAGCAAATGGCCACCTTCCAGCTGACTGCCCTGCAGACACCACCATCACCGGCAAACCTGTTGCAGCTCTTGCCACCAATGCCTGGAGTAAGCATGTGCTTATGTCACCCAATGGGAAGCATTTCTGCTTCAACTGGGCCAACAGCTCCATCTGCACCTATGGTGCCAACTGCAGAAATGTTCACGCTTGCAGCATCTGCAGAGATTCATCACATGGAGCTGGCAATTGCAAGGCCTGTCAGTGATCCACACAGCATGATCACCCCTCTAAACCACATTCGGTTAGAGGAACTTCTTTGTAAATATGGTATCTTCAATGATTGGTGTCATATAATCAATGGTATTCACGACGGTTTCAATGTTGGGATTCAATGCCCACCTTCCTCTACTCATTTATTTTGAGAACCACTCATCCTCGCTACTCAATCCTTCAATAATCTATTTGTACATACTCGCAGAGCAAGAAGCTGGAAGATACTCTATAGGATTCAGTCCCACAGACCTGGAACAATTAATTGGGCCTTTTCGCACATCTCCACTTGGTCTGGTACCAAAACCACACTCAAGCAAATTTCGAATAGTGCAGGACCTTTCTTATCTGCAAAATATTTCAGATATCCCGTCCGTGAACGCTGGTATCAGTGTGGACGATTTCCCCACAGTATGGGGAACCTTCGATCACCCTTCCTCCTGGTTGTGTCACAGCAACCTTCGATATTTCATCTGCATACCATATAATTCCTGTTCGTCCATGGCAGCAGAATGCACTCTGCATCCTTTGGAGAGGAATTGTATACATAGACCATGCCCTCATGTTTGGCCTCACCTCCAGTGCAGGCATATTTGGGTCCATTGCCGACATGTTAGTGGCCATCTATGACAAAGCTGGCTTCGAGCTGATTCAAAAATGGGTGGACAATTTTCTCGTAATCAGGCTTCCTCACCAAACCTGGACCGAAGAGGATTTCATGGCCTTGTCAGCATACTGTGGTGTTCCTTGGAGCCTCGAAAAGCTTTGATGTTTTGCTTCCATTCAGCATTACATTGGCTTCAACTGGGACTTAGACCGCAAGTGTGTTGCACTGCTGAAGGACAAGCTACTGAAAACCTGCGCCCTACTCAAATCCTGGCTTATCAAAAAGGCATCCTTCACTTCGAAAGAGGCTGCCAGCCTGCATGGAAAGCTCGTGCATATTGTGTGTATTTTTCCCCTGATTCATCCATTCTTGCCCTCTATTGCTTTCTTCGCATTGGGCTTCCGCTCTCAGTGTGTGCACCTTCACCCACCCAGTGCTTGCAGACATCCGTTGGATTCTATCCTTACTGTCACACCTCCCCAGCTCAGTTCCCATATCCACCCCATCACCTGTCGACATAGGCTGGTGGGATGACACAAGCACATCCTTTGGAATTGGAGTCGTTGTGCAAGGCCACTGGGCTGTGTGGTGCTGGGCACCCAGCTTTAAAGTAGGCCCAAACCAGGATTTCGACATTGGTTGGGCTGAAGCGGTAGCCCTAGAGCTTGGACTTCATTTAGCCATTCACCTGGGTAATTAATCCATCGTCTCTATTGTAATTCTGGATTCTCATTTGATTAATCTAATTCCCAAAGGTATTATCACCCACAGTGCAGCCAAGAGCACCAATTACTTGGTACGATCTGACAACGTAGGGGTAGTGGCTTCCCTGGCGCTTCCAATTCAGTACTGATATCCTTGCCACCCCATTTGTTGGGCAAACTGATCCAGTTATTGTGAGGTCTCTATACCACACTTCATCTTACAGCTCCAGCCATTCAGTTTCATTGCCCACCACCTCGCACAGCAGTGCTTCATCCCTGTGTCCGCATTGTAAAGCCTCTTAAAAGCTTTTCCTCTGGTGTGGCCCGAACCCCTCTCCTTCTTCCATCATTGATCACCCAATTATCCACCACATCGCAAACATAGCTAGCCATGCTTCCCTTCGCAACACCACCAGCTACGGCGCTGGATTACGAAAATTCCACATCTTCTGCAACATATTTTCAATTCCCGAAGCTAGCCATCTTCCAGCCTTGTTCAAGCTACTTCACTCCTTTGCTCTATGGGCTGTCACAGACCCACACCCTGAGGACCCTCTTTTATCTGCAGGAGGAAGTACACCCAGCTTTGAGCCAGTCTCTGTTGGGGTTGCCCATAAATATCTTTCTGCCGTGTGAGCGTGGCATATTGCGCAAGGTTGGCCCCCACCACTGTCAGATTCTCACCGTGAGAGGATCAATTGGTCTTTGCGAGGTCTGGAGAACCTCCAGTCTAGTCGTCGAAAGCCCCTTCGGCCACCCATAACTAGTGCTATGCTTACTGCCATCAAAGCCACCCTCTCCTTATCGGAACCCTTTGACACATGCATTTGGGCAATAGCATCATGTGCCTTCTTCGGTATGATGCGTTTTGGTGAAGTCTCTGTTGCCTCATGTGCAGCCTTTGATCCAGCCAAACATCTCATGTGGGCTCACACATTCTTTGGCTATGATCTTCGAAACAGCCTATATGCACATCTTGACCTTCCTTCAGCAAAATGTCACGAGTACCTTTAACAAACCATTATTCTTTCCTAAATCTTCCTAAGTGTCAATACACAGCGCCTAAGTCAAACTCTACCCCGAAAGTGTCTACCAGTTCAGAGATACCTTTAGTGCCCATGACACGTGTCTTCGATGTGACTAATGAAGAAGACAAATTCTTTGATTGTGAATAGATTAGATTAGATATGATAAGATAAGATATGGTCACGTGATACTTCTTTAATATTCTACGATGTTCTATGGTACGATTCCCTTTTCCTTTTTATGATTGGCTAGTAGTTGTAGCTCAGTTTCAATCTCTGTTTCAATAGTTGTATATAAGTAGCACGTCTTGGTCGATAGTTCCTTAGTTCAAACCTCTTGTATCTACACTGTAGCAATCCAAGACATACCTGCTCACCATCCTTCTTGTTGTGATAACCTTAGTCTGAGTCCTAGTCTCCGCCCAGCGTTAATTCGTTATTGGGTTGTGACACAAAAACAGCGAAACTGGGAAAAACACAATCCATTTTTCTAAATGAACAAGGAGCTTTATGTCCACTAGCAGCCCTTCACAACCTAGCATCAGTAGTACCAGCACTCGCAGGTGACCCTCTATTTTCATGGCGCGACTCTAAGGGTGAAATTTACCCAATGGTGAAGGCCCATGCCATGGAAAGAATCAATTCGATCTTGATGGGATGGGGATGGGGCACCTCGTTCGGCCACTCATTTCGAATAGGTGGCATGTCATTCTATTTGGCCAAAAAGATCAACCCCAAAATAATCTGAATCACCGGCCATTGGAAATCATTAGCATATGAGACTTACATTTGTGCTTTCGAGCAGATATCCTCCCAGCACCTGGCTAATGCAACTGCTCTATAACCATCACCTCCACATTCTGGTTGGGCTAAGCAGCTTTGAGCAGCGGATCGTTCTGGCTTGTTGGGTGAGCAGCTCCACCTGCTTGCATCCTTCCCGAGCTAACACTCGGCCCAGCCCAACCTAATAGATTGTGTCACTGTCTCTAGAGTCAAGTCAAAGCTGGAATGTCCAGGTGCTGGGTAATGAAGCCTGCCAAAATACCTCGGCACCATGCATCCAGCTGAGCAGCTGCATTGCTCGCTTCCGCTATTCAATTTTCTTCTTCTCCACCACAACACCAAGTTCGTCCATCACACTCCTCACTCACTCGATAAAATTTTGTTATACCCACCCACCTCTCCCTTTTAAGTTGTTGCTAAGCAGTATTGCTTCTAGCATTTTAATTAGCCACATGCCTTATAATCTTATCTGTCAATTCACATTTTACTGTTCCAGAGATACTCATGAGTCGATTGATATGATCAAATCCATAAGCAGTGTCCCGCCCTCCCAGCGGCTCC